CCAAACGGCCCCCGGGCCGCCCCCGGCTGCCCCCCCCGCCCCCCCCCCCCCCACACACACAGCCATACACCGCTGTGGCTTGTCTTCGTTCCAGCCAGCGGTGTTGGGTGGGAGGAGGCGACAGAGATCGCTTTGTCCTGCTGTCCTGACGAGACTGGCGCCATGGCGACCCAGGTCCAGAGGCCGTCTTTCAAGGTCGTGGCAACGCCACCGACACTTCTCTCCCTCCCTGATAGGTTGCTGTTGGCAAAGAACATAAGAGAAGTCATGTTGGCTCAGGCCAGTGGTCCCTCCAGTCCAACACTCTTGTGTCACACAGTGGCCAAAACCCAGGGGCCATCAGGAGGTCCAATAGTGGGGCCAGAACTCCAGAAGCCTTCCCACTGTTGCCCCCCCCAGCACTAAGAATAAAGAGCATCCCTGCCCCAGACATAAGAACGTAAGACAAGTAGAATACAGAACATCACTGCCCCAAAGATAGCATTCCATTTATACCTTGTAGCTAAGAGCCACTGATGGACCTCTGCTCCATATATTTATCCAGTCCTCTCTTGAAGATGTCTTAGCTTGTAGCCAGATTTGGGGAGGAGAGGGACATCCAAAAAGTATAATGCCATAGAGTCCACCCTCTGGAGTAGCCATTTTCTCGAGGTGAGCAAATCTCCATTGTTTGGAGATCAGTTGCAATTCCAGGAGATTTCCAGGCCCCACCTGGAGGCTGGCAACCCTACTCGACAAAGACAAACCCACTCACAGTATTAAATGGTTAAGAAGACAGAGCATCCCTGCCCCAGACATAAGAACATAAGAGAAACCATGTTGGATCAGGCCAACGGCCCATCCAGTCCGACACTCTATGTCACACAGTGGGCATGGCTTTCACCTGTTCTCACCTCCCAGGTCTGCCCCACTTGTGGTGGCCAAATACCCGTATCCAGGCCCAGGTGCAGGAGAGCGGGGGGGAGTGTGTGTCTCAAGACGAGGAAGGGGTGACCGGATAGCTGTGTTCATCTTTTGCAGCAAAATAAAACAGAAATTCAGTGACATCTGACTGACTGGCAGCACTGGTCTCAGCCCGTGCTTTTGTGAGTCACGGCTGGGGTTCGTTCATTCGTTCGTTCATTCATTTCATTCGTTCGTTCATTCATTTAAAACATTTGTTAGCCTCCTTTCCTTCTCAGGGAGCTCAAGGTGGCTCACAGGCATAGATGAAACACACTGGATGAAAAAAAACCCCACCCATAAAGCCACAAGTTCGTTCATGTTCATGAAGGTGATACGATACTTGAAAGGTCCCGGGGCGGAGTGTGTGTGGAGATAAGGCAGAGAGGTTTGGTGTGTGAATTGCATCATAAATCACAGCATGAGCAGTTAAATCAGGGTGCTGTTGGCGGCTTTCACGGCCGGAGTTCATTAGCTGCTGTAGATTTCCCGGGCTGTCTGGCCGTGGTCTTGGCATTGTAGGACCGGACGTTTCGCCAGCAGCTGTGACTGGCATCCTCAGAGGTATAAGCACAGAAAGATGGAGGACTCTCTGTGTCAAGGTGAGAAGCAAAATGGTAGGCAGGTGATTTATATCTACTCAGGAAGGTGGGGTAGGGCTGAGTCATTCTCTTGTAGGAGTTCCCCCGGCTGTGGAACATGCTAATGGAGGAGCTTTCCTGAGGAGGTGCTTTTGTCTGTGGATTGGATGTTTCCTGAGGAGGTTCTTTTGTATATGGATTGTTTCCTGAGGAGGTTCTTTTGTGTGTGGAGTGGCTGTTGACATTCTAATCTTCTCTGTAGTGCTATTGTCAGCTGTAGAGCCTTTTGTGTTTTTCAGGACAGGAAACCATGTCCTATTTATTTGTAAACTCTCTTCTTTCCTGTTGAAATTGTGTTTATGTTTATGAATTTCAATGGCTTCCCTGTGTAATCTGACATGGTAATTGGAAGTGCTGTTCAACATTTCAGTGTCTCGGAACAAAATACTGTGTCCTGTTTGAGTTTGGCCATGTTCAGCCACTGCTGATTTTTCAGGTTGGCCAAGTCTGCAGTGTCTTTCATGTTCTTTTATTCTTGTCTGAATGCTACGCCGTGTGGTCCCGATGTAAACCTGTCCACAGCTACATGTTATGCGGTATGCTCCTGCAGACGTGAGGGGGTCTCTTCTGCCTTTTGCCGATCGTAGCATCTGTTGTATTTTTCTGGTGGGTCTGAATACTGTTTGTAGGTTATGTGGGAAAACTTATGAAAAAACACAACTCAGTCCTACCCCGCCTTCCAGGGTAGATATAAATTACTTGCCTACCATTTTTCTTCTCACCTTGACACAGAGAGTCCTCCATCTTTCTGTGTTTATACCTCTGAGGGTGCCAGTCACAGCTATTGGCGAAACGTCAGGTTCCGCAATGCCAAGACCACGGCCAGACAGCCCATAAAAATCTACAGCAACTAGTTAAATCAGGGCTCTTTTTTGTAGCTTTGCATATTAGGCGACGCCCTCCCCCAATGTAGCCAATCCTCCAAGAGCTTACAGTAGCCCCTGTAAGAAGAGTCTCTGTAAGCTCCTGGAGGATTGGCTTAATTGGGGGGGGGGGGGTTGCCTCATAGGCAAAGGCGTTCCTGCTACAAAAAGAGCCCTACACATCTAATGGATTATGAGAGAAGTCAGCGGTTTGAACAGATAAGCAAAATGATGGAAGAGGATGGGAGACCAGCAGGGAAGGAAGCCCAGGGTTGCTGTGCAGAGGCAGGCGATGGCAAACCCACCTCTGAACATCTCTTGCCTTGACCTGGTTGGCCCAACCTAGCTCAGTGTTGCCAGATCTCGGAAGCGAAGCAGGGTCGGCCCTGGTCAGTGCTAGGAGAGGAGACCACCGAGGACACCCATAGTCGCTACGCCGAGACAGGCACCGGCTAAACCCCGTCTGAAGTCTCGCTTGGGAAAACCCCACGGGAGGTTGCTGTCAGTCAGCCGTGGCTTGTCAGTGCATAATTATTTTAAACGGGCTTTGTAAGTTTGGGTATTGAGCCTGGCCTGTGACGGTCGCCTGACTTGGTAGATGACAAAAGTTTGAGTCCAGTGGCCCCTTTAAGACCCACAAAGTTTGATTCTGGGTATACCTGGATTCAGCGCTCTTTTTGTAGCAGGGACTCCTTTGCATATTAGGCGACACACCCCTAATGGAGCCAGTCTTCCAAGAGCTTACGGAGCTCTTCTCACAGGGGCTACTGTAAGCTCTCGGAGGATGGGCTCCATTAGTGTGTCGCCTAATATGCAGGGGAGTTCCTGCTACAAAAGGCCCCCTGCCCCACCCACCCCCTTTTGCTCTGATTTGCCCCACCTGGAAAAGGGGCTGGCTGTCCGGAAGTGGGGCAAATAACATCACAGGAAAATCGCCAACTTAGATCGTTTTATTTGTACTGTAGTTTTTACGACGTCATACGTTGAATTTTAATGTTTTGTATATTTTATGGCATTATGCCTTGTACATCGCCCAGAGCCTAGCATAAGCTGGGATGGGGCGATTAATAAATCTAAATGATGATGATGATGATAAGGGCTCTTTTTGTAGCAGGAACTCCCTTGCATATTAGGTGACACACCCCTAGTGTAGCCAATCCTCCAAGAGCTTACAGAGCTCTTCTCACAGGGGCTTCTGTAAGCTCTCGGAGGATTGGCTCCATTAGGGGTGTGCCGCCTAATATGCAAAGGAGTTCCTGCTACAAAAAAGAGCCCTGCGGGCCGGATTTAAACTTTGTGGGTCTTAAAGGGGGCCACTGGACTCAGACTTCGTTCTGTCGCTTCTGACCAACACGGCTCTACCCACCTGAATCTATCGTGGTAGGTTACAGTAATGTTCACGTAGAGGCTAAAGTGGCAGAAAAGGTAGGGACTGTGTATGCATGGTTCGTTTTCTGACACATCCTTCCTTCTGTGTAGGTTTGTGGCCATCAGTGACATATATGAACCGACTGACGATGGGAGTGAGAGTCAGGTGAGTCCCAAGGGAGGGGAAGGTGTTTTGGAGAGGGAGAGCATCATAGGCAGAGGTTCTGGATACGGCCCATGGCTCAGTGGAAGAGCCCCTGCTTGGCATGCAGAAGGCCGCAGGTTCAGTCCCCGGCATCTCCAGTTAAAAGGACCAGGCAGGAGGGGATGAAAAAGACCTTGACCCGAGACCCTGGCTCAATGGAAGAGCCTCTGCTTGGCATGCAGAAGGCCGCAGGTTCAGTCCCCGGCATCTCCAGTTAAAAGGACCAGGCGGGAGGGGATGAAAAAGACCTTGACCCGAGACCCTGGCTCAGTGGAAGAGCCTCTGCTTGGCATGCAGAAGGCCGCAGGTTCAGTCCCCGGCATCTCCAGTGAAAAGGACCAGGCAGGCAGGGATGAAAAAGACCTTGACCCGAGACTCTGGCTCAGTGGCAGAGCCTCCGCTTGGCCTGCAGAAGGCCCCAGGTTCAATCCCCGGCATCTCCAGTTAAAAGGACCAGGTAGAAGGTGATGTGAAAGAACTTGACCTGAGACCCTGGCTCAGTGGCAGAGCCTCCGCTTGGCCTGCAGAAGGCCCCAGGTTCAATCCCCGGCATCTCCAGTTAAAAGGACCAGGTAGAAGGTGATGGGAAAGACCTCCGCCTGAGACCCTGGAGAGCCACTGCCAATCTGAGCAGACAATACTAACTTTGACAGGCCGAGGGTCTGATTCAATACAAGGCTGCTTCACAGGTGTTGGCGGATGTATTCCCCGCATTGACTCACCTGTCCCCGTCTCACACGCCTGGTGTTTGTTTTTCTCTCCCCTCCCCGCAGATATTCTGCTCGCGATCGTACGACGCCACCACCCACTTTGAGACGACATGCGACGACATCAAAGACATTTACCGGCGCATGACAGGGGCTCCCTTTGACTTTGAGAGCATGAAACGGCGCCAGAACGATGTCTTCGGCGAGGACGTGCCGCGCCGTGCCCCCCCCCCCCCCCCTGTTCCCCCCCCCCCCCCTGGTTCTACCCACGTGAGGGACCATACTCCCCACTCTGGACTGGCTCTACCCCACGCGTCCCCCCAAGACCAACCCCCCCCCCAGTCCTCTTCCAGCCAGGCCATACTTCTCTCCACTGGGACCAGTCACCTTAAACCACAGAGAAGGAGCCTCATTTCCAGCTCGCTTTTGCTTCCTGCCCTTCGGCCCCGGGGGGGTCTTTTTTTGCCACCGGGAGCCAGACTTCCAGTGACCGAATCTGGTTCCGAGTTGGCAGAATCCTGATTCCTTCGGGTCTCCATCTCACGAGCCCCTTCCAGATCCTTTCGGACCAGACCACAGATTTCCTGCCCACCCCAACAGCTCCCCCCGGAAAAGAAAAAATGAGGATGATTGAGAAACGGGTAGTAGAATGACGAAATTCCCTTCAATCGTTGCTTTTCAACTTTGCCCCCTCCCCCCCCCCCGGCTTTTTCCCCCCTGCGTTCCAGAAGTGG